ACTGACCACTGACCTGGAACTCACTATGTAGCCCAGGCTGGTCTCGAACTCACAGCAATCCTCCTGCCTCAGCCTCCCGAGTGCTGGAAATACAGGCATGCACCACCACGCCCGGCTCAACCTAATCTTATTTTATAGTTTTTAAAGCATATTCCACTAGTGCTTGAAAAATTATCTCCAATAGTAAGACAGAGTCATTTCTCCTTTCTTTTGACTAGCAGCCAAAAACTTGTCACACATGTTCTAGCTGCTTTTTATGACATGGCAAGTATGACAGGGCAATCAAAGAACTAGATTTTAGTTGATGTGTAATTGTCTGTAACAAAATCTACAAACTCTTAAATCCATCACTGTGCCACCTCAAAGCCCTGCCAACATTTCAGTGGCAAGTACTGATGACAATTCAAAACCTCTGTTACAAGCACTAGTGTGCTGCTCTTGAAAATTCAGTAGCTTGGCAGAAGACCAATTGTTTGGCTCCTAACTCCAGGGAATCTGTATTAATACTCTAATAATTATTACTTTAAATTACAAAAAGTAATGTACTCAACAGAGGTTATTAACACAATGATGTTTAAATGAATGGAAACTTATATGATTCAACTGAGGAAACATCCACAGATTCTTCATCTGTGGGGTATGAATTCTGAAGTATTTAAAAGTACATCCAGGGCCTGGGATTTAGCTTAGTGGTTTCACTGCCTGCCTTGCAAACACAAGGGCCCAAGTTTGATCCCCAGTACCACAAGTTATTTTTTATTTTAGTAATTCAAATGAAAGAAAAAAAATCCTGCCAATATAATGGATGTTCCCAAACAATAAATGTTAAGATCTAGTAAAAATGGAACAAATCATTATGATCTTATTTTCTCACCATACCTTGTCTTCCCTCATATTAATTTTTACTGACTGGGAATCATTATCTAACTGTTCCTTTCCCAGTCACCAGATGTTGTGACTTATACAAATTGAATATTGTCCAAATCTGACATTTTCTTTGTTACTAGTGGTCTAATATGGGCATTTATTACATTCAATATATAATTAATTCAATATATAATTAAAAACTTCCCTTATCTTCTCCCAGTACTCAAATCTATCTTCTATAACGTGTCTAAAATACTTTCGCTAATAGTAAATTAAACACTGCAACTACCTTAAGGAAAGTTTTCAACTATTTGTAATTACATCTTTAAAAAGTCCAATTGCATTATCCCTATCACTTTGCACTCTAAGACCAGTACAGATGTTATTCTGTATTCACAGTATACTAACAATGTTATCTTCCTAAAATGTTAAATATTTTCCTTTTTCATTACCTTAAATCTATTCACTTAAGGCTGCATAAAATCTAAATCATTCAAGTGTTAAAAATTACTCCTGTCTGTAAAGCATGTACCTGTGTGACTCCTCATGACTCAGGAAGGCTCCCACCACTGCAGATCACAAGGGCTAAAGGGCCAAAGCGGGGCTGGGGGTCTTCCCAAGTGGGCAAGGCCAGAAGCGGTCTAAGAAGGTATCATCACATAGGGATGAGAGAAGGAGGGGAGGCTGTGGCGAGGGAAGAGGGAGGAAGAAGGTGCAGAGAGGGAAGGAAAGAGACTGGGTAGTTAAAAGAGGGCAGGGGAAGGGCAGAGAGGATAAAGTTGAGAGGGGAAAGGAGGGAAGGGAACAAGGAAAGCGAGGCAAGGAGAGGGAGTTGGGGAAGGGGTAACATGATGGGAACTGTGGGGGCTCCATGGCGGAAGGGGTGTGACCATGTTGGTGGGCGGCCCATTCAGGTCACACTTTTGCTGGGTCAGCTTCCAGGGAGGCCATCCATGGTGCGGGACTAAGAAGTGGGGCTTAGGCTAGGTTCCAGAAGTGGGAGGAAGGTGGCTGCATCAGGAGAGGGGCTATGACAGAAGGCCGTGGCTCATCACCTACGCTGACCTGAGTAGGCCCGCCCCGCCCCATGGCCTTGCCCCTTCCGCCATTGTGATCTCATTTCCTGTGCCTTGTACTGTGATGGCTCACGGGCCAGGACCCAAGGCAGAGGTGCTGGTAATGTCCCCTTCGCTGTTCCCTACAATTGTCCCTCTGTGGATTCCCAGCTTCTGGGAGCATGATGAAGACCACTGGGCTACTTCATCTACTCACAAAGATGAGAAATAACTGGTGTTACAAAGATATACATGTTAACTTCCATAATGTCAAATGGTGCACATTCTGGGAAGAAGAGTTGGGCAGCTTCTTAAAGAGCCCTCTCCAAAATGACCCCATGAACCAGCCATTCTACTCTTAGCACAGACTCAGAAACCTGACAACTGAGAAGGAAAGAAGGACCTGTGCAAGAATGTTCATCGCAGCTGTTGTGTCCCCGAGTGGGGGTGAGATCACCAGCCCACCAGCCCATTTTCCTGGGCTGTCTCTCTGAGGTGGAAAGGGAAGAGGAGTCAGAAGACAGGGCAAAGCAAGAATAAAGTTCATTAACAGAAGAACAATATGCAAAGCCACTCTGAGCAGTGGGGGCCCTAGAGCTGGGTAACCATTGAATATAGCCAGCCCTCCTGTATTTATGGATTTGAGGTGGTGTTCCCCTGGAGGCGGCCCTACCCATTTGGTTGTTCTGTCCTGTTGCTAGGTATTTGGGTTCGGTACTGCAACAATTAGATTGTTACAAAAGCAAGATCATTGATTACCCCTTATTTATATTGTCTGAACATTGCACAGGTTTTTCTCCTAAATTCTGAAGGGCTCATATCCTTTCCCTGACCCTACTTGTGGTTCCCTTCCATTCCTACACAGCCTGTGGGCCACAGGAAAAAATTAGAAACTACCAAAATATAGTGATCAGACTACATAACTTGAAGCAGCAACTTTCTAGAGAGTCCTTTAAAGACTTTCCCTTAACCTAAGGAAACTGCTAGGATTATAGGGTAACTGATCAGACACTGTAGTTAGAGGGGGCACACTACCTAGGGTCAAGAAAGGGACATGAACCCTTTAAAACTTAGAAAAACCACTTCTGTAGTGTTCTCAGACTATAAATAACAAGTAATCTTGCTACTTTGTCCACTCTAATTGTTGCAATGTATACTCACATATTTCTATCAGCTCAGGAGACTCAAACTCCTTAAGACAAAACAAACCTACATATTGTTTAGGGCTGCCTCCAGAGCAAGGGACTGCCACCTAGATCCCATAAATACAGGAGGACTGCTGACTATACTCAGTGATTTCCCAGTTCTGGGGCCCCCACTCCTCAGAGTAGCTTCGTATCTCTTTTCTCTGTTAATAAACTGCTTTGTTTTGCACCATCTTCTGACTTCTCTTTAAGACAGACAATCCCAGGAAAACTCAATGGGTGGGCTGGCAATCTCAGATCTCCACAATGCAACAACATAGGAGACTCTTAAGTGCTAGAAGGGGTACCAAATTTTGCAGAGACACTAAAGTGGGGATGCAAACACTTTTGGAAAACAGACATGTAGTACAGCTCTTGGAACCACTTGCCAGGTGATACTGAGTATGAGCCCATCATAGAGACCTCACCTGGACATAAATCTTTGAAGGCAAGTTGTCAGCATCAGAATTGCTGTGCAAGGTTGCCTGGCTTTTTTTGTATATTTGTTATTTTACAATACAGGGGAATGAACTCAGGTTCCATTCATTCTTCACGCTGAGCTACACCTCCAACCATTTTTGCAATTTTTATATTTTGAGATAAAGTCTTGCTATGACATGAAATAGTACAAGCTGGACTTGATCATTTGGTTTTCCTGCCTCAGCCTCCTGGAGTGCTCGGATAGCAGGCAGCCTCCCCCTACTGGGGTATAAGTCTGTCTTTAATGGATTCTGCCTTCTTGGGAAGTTTCATGTCTTCATTTGATCTACTCATTCCACCTCCCTCTGTCTCTGCCTTACCTGTCAGACTTAGATCAGTCCATATTTCAGTCCTTCCCATCCCACTACTTTCATGGTCCCCATTCTCATCTCATCTTTCTGATCCTCTTTGGATTTCAGGCTGTTGGGTTGCTTCCAGCTGCTCCGCTCCCCAACTGTTGTCCTGTTCTCTGATGCTCCCATCCCCCAAGATGCCTCTCTACAGCCATGCTGTTAACCATTCCTTCTCCACCCACATCAGTTTGGTAGGTTTAGCTCTCCTGATTGTCTCATCTTATTCAGAAATTGCTCCACTATGCTTATTTCTTTTCAGTTGATTCTGTCATAGGCAGAGCCAGGCAGTCTCTGAGATCCCGGGCCTGACTCTCCCAACGATGCAGAATGTTGTGGAAAAATCAGATAGAAATCCAAAGTGTAGAAGCAAGGTTTATACTTAAATCTAGCAAGTGTGCAAGAGGAAAGCTGCCTTCTCTCAGAGAAAGGAAGTGGTGATCAATCAAGAAAGATATCACAATGGGTTCTGTCCTTGATACTAATTTCATAAATCACTTTTTGTTTGCATAGGAACAGTGCCTCTTAAGCAGATTCTCAGGTTTCAAATGGGGAACAGTAAGGCCTTTTCAAACTCTTGAGTTTTCCAACACAGTTCCTGTGATAGGAAAAAAAAAACTAGTTATGCTATAAGAGAAGTCATTTTGTCCAAGTATAAAGTACATAAGATAGCCCACTGTTTACACGGGTGCCATAAAATATTTGATTTACTGCACCAAGCAGGACAAGTAAATTGAAATAGGATTAAACAAGAAATCCTGAAGAACCAGAAACCAGAATGACATGGCATCCTATGTTAAACAGAGTCAAAATCAAAAGCATCATTGGCCTGCGTGTGTGTGTGTGTGTGTGTGTGTGTGTGTGTGTGTGTGTGCGCGCATGCACATATACTTTATTTTTCAAAACAATGTTTTGCCTTTTTCGTATATTTCTTTCTGGTCTCGTGATATCCTTTAAGAATATTTTTATTCCCCATAAAAATTTTTCATTCTGCAGAGGCACAAAGCCTCTGGACCCCTTGCTGTCAGTCCCTGTCCTCCTCCTTCCCTCCTGACTGCCTTCCTTTACCACATGGGAAGTGGGTTTCCATTTGAGTTTGGCCAATGAAGAATCTGTGGGAAGGGAACAGAGAGAGAAGGAAAGACTAGAGGACTTGGGCCCCAGCTGCCTTGTGCTCTGCTGCTCTGGTAGTGGCTTCATTCTGTCATGGCAACCACAGACTTGGAGAGGCCTCCCCCATGCTTTAGTCACCTCTATGCATCTCACTTCTGGCACTACCATTTCCCAAGTTCCACGCCATCAGCCAGAGTGGGCTGGTGCCCATCCGTCGGAGCTCTTTCTTGCATGCTTCCCCACAGGGTGTTGGTCCCCCTCTCCATCCTGCTCACTCATTCCCAAAGTTCCTTTCATTTTATGCCTTTTCTTCTTAGGAGCCTAACTGATTAACTTGCTCATCAGATTCCCACAACAAATTAACATACAGACAGGATGAAACAGCGTCATTAACTTATGTTATACCTCTCTGTATCAGTTCCTCTCCCACATGCAAATTGGAAGTTGGAACTCTTTGGGGATGTCAGCAGTAATACAGTGCTTTCAACTAACCCAGAGGTTCTCACTGGCATTTCTGAGGGTCACACAGCAGCAGGGAGAGTATTCCACTAGCAACAGGTGGGCAGAAACCAAGGATGCTGCTACCTGGCCCAGTGTCAGTAGCATCATGGTTGGGTGACACATTGTGTGCAGAATGTATTACAGATGTGATGTTTATCCTCTTCCCATCTGCAGGGTCCTCATAAGCACCAGAATCATTTCCCTAAAGTGATGTCATTGGAAAAGTATGAGGAAGGATTAGGGAGAAGGTGGCCTTCTCAGTCAGGGCCAGTGCTGGTGTGAGAGGTTCAAGGACAAAGGTAAAGTGTTCCTCACCTCCAAGATGAACTTTCCTCCCATGGTGGGAGTCGAATATTTCAGGACCTATCAAGGAACATGGGAGAAAGGTCTGGGAATGCAACCATAAGAAGATTAATAGTAATTATATCCCTGGTAGCATTTTTTAGAGATTTAATTTCTTACCAAAATACTTTAAATTTTTCTATAAAGGCAATGTAATTACACAAAATTCTAGACTTAGAAAGCATGCCTCATTTACAGATAATCATCTTTCAAAGCCCCAGTCCCTTAACTGAATAGGTTTTCACAGGACAGTATATCAAGTTGCTTCAATAATAAAGTCACAACATTTCTGCACACAGCAATGGAAACAACCAACAGAGTGTACAGACAACCTACAGAATGAGAATAACTTGTTGCCAGAAAGGAGTGAAAAGGAATGAAAAAAGAACTGAAGATCTGTTATGTACATATACCAGCCATACAAGGAAAGTAATCATTATGTATGCAGACATGTAATAAAAAATAAATGAAAAAATAAAGTTCACAGAAAACTGTCCTTATAACTGAATATGAGGATAGGCTTTCCTTCAAATTTATGATTAATTTGGGGGATGAATGAATAAAGTCATTAAGTATGTTTTATTTCTAAATGATAAGAACCATGTTAATTACCGTTTATTTTTCTAGAGATAAATGTTAAGCTCAACTACAAAAACAATTTAGGTCTTCATTGACCTGTAAGGTAGACACATGTCCCTAGACAAGCATGACTATTTAAATTTAAATTAAGTAAATATAGCACATTTCCAGAAAGTTCTTCAAATTCTATGAGACAGTGCTGGTACACTTGTTTTCTCCCCTGGACTCTTTTCCCATGGTCACGTTCTCTTTGCTTTCTCTTGGTACTATTCTATGCAACTTTGTTGTAAACTAGCCTTAATTCTTTCTTGGAACAATTTGGCATATCAGCACTTTTGAAAAATCCCTGTGAATCTGTATACATAACCCTGTTGCTGGAAGCTCAGCCTGTAAGACAGTCAGTAGCTCAGGCACTGTGGTCTTGCTTATAACTTGAAGACTCAAAACATGTTCAGGAATGTAGCTCCTCTGTCATAAAGTACAATCTTTAGGGGTCCTGTGGGTGTTGTTTTGATTAATTTTTTATAATTAAAAAGGTATGCAGTATTCATTCCTGAAAACCAAGTTGGTTTTTCTTTTTTTAGCAGCACTTTTTTATTTTCTTTTTGGGATTAAGTCACAAAGTTGTTCAGGCTGGGCTTAAACTTCTGATCATCCTCCCTCTGCATCCTAGAATACTGGGGTTACAATCATGTGCTACCATGTCCAGTTTCACAATGTTACTTAGCTAAAACTTAATTTGAGGCTGGGAATAGTAAAATAGGTATGTAAGTGTCATGAGCCGGCGACGCAGAGCACTGTCCAGCAGTGCCTCAAACGTGAAAGAGCAGCGGGGTGGAGATGGGGCAGAGAGAAAGGAAGGACACCAAGACAAGAGTCTGAGCAAGGCGACATTTATTGCCAGCAAGCATCAGCCTTTTAAAGCAAAAAAGCACAAACTATTATGGGATGGGGTTACCATAGTAAATGAAAGTTCACACAGGAAAAGAGCAAACAGACTCAACAAAAACAACCACCATGGGTATTAGTAACCCAGACAACCACACATCTGAAGGTCAGAGACAAGAAACTGCAACTTTCAGGAATTCCACAAAGGAAACACACCACCTTTTAAACTGGAGAAACTTAACAAACATGGAGTTACTAAAGTTAACAATACTTACAACTAATACTCATGATTCCCACATGTAAGTAATCTCAGCTACATGTGAGACTGAGGCAGGAGGCTCACAAATTTGAAACCAGTAAGATTGTCTCAAAGTAAAAATATAAGAAGGGCTAGATATGCAGCTAGGTGATACAGTGTTCCTGAATTCCATAACCATTTATCTGCAGAAAAATGAAATTTCTTTTTCAAATTCTAAATAAAAGTCTAAATATTAGCTGTGTGTAAAATATTAAATATACTATCATGGCAAAAACAAATGGCCCAACTTATTACTACTGACAGAAAAGACCATGTAACTGGAGTCCTGGACATACTAGGAAGAATCAAGAATGAAAATGTTATCCTAGGACTGTAGGGGACCACCTACCAGACCCTGGTTCCAGAGCAGCTGCCTCTTCACAGAAGCCTATGCAAACTTGAATGTGTTAACAGGTTTTATACTTATTTTACAAAGAAGTGTAGATAAAAACTATATACAGTGACAGAAATTATTAATCATGGCCCAAAGTGACAAATCTTTGACTCTAATCAAATGCTAAACTATATGAACAATGCAGTACAAAGACTAAAGAAAGAACATGTACGTAACAGTAGGAAATACTTTTAACTATTCCTAAAGAATTCAAATAGAGCTAGAGAGCCTTTCATACTTCTCATCTCTCTGGCTACAGATCTCCCACAGCTCGCATGGCTGAAGCACCCACAGAGTGAGAATGATGGTGGGAGATTAAGAAAAAACAAAGAAGGTGGGGCCAGGTGGGGCTCTTCCTTCTGATGGGAGAGAAAGATCAGTGGGCAACTGCAGCATTTTATTTATAGTGGTAGAGATGAGGGAGGTGCAGGGGGAGTCAGAGTGGCTGCTCTGTAACCAGATCCTGAAGAGTAGCTAAGGTCTGCGGGACATCATGCTTAATGGTTTTCTGGTAATTGGGCAGGAGGAAGACAGTCCTCTTCTCTGCCAGGCCTTGGTCCACCACACTCTCTTGTGGCCTGTTCTCCTGCTGGGTCTTGCCTCCTCTGCCACAGGAAGCGAAAGAGACACATGTTCCTCCTTCATCTGTGGGAGGAGGCAAGTTAGGCCTGGCCAGAGTGGTCTACAGTGCAGTGTTCCCAGCATCTCCCTTATAAAATGCTAACTTCAGTACATGGTTTTTCTGGAACATACTCTAAGGAAAGGATCTGCAAACAATCTTGGTACTAAAATAAGCAATATCCTGTATTTCAATGATTTTGAAGATTTGGAAGTAATAGTACAGAAATCATTTCAATTACAGAGAAAAAAAAAAACTTTCAGCATTGCACTGGTTGTTTTCTGGGTAAAGAGGATGAGGCCTAACATTTCCTGAATCCTTACCCTGTTGAAAACCCTGCTAGCTATTTATGCTGACTATGTCATTTAGTCTACACAACCATCCTACAACGTAAGCAATATTGAAACAGTAAAAGTCTCCATTCAGTTGTATTAGCTTCTTACTACTACTCTGAGAGGATGGAAAGCACTTATTGGGAGACTTGGAGACAAAGTTAAAGTAAGCTTTAATTAATACCAGTGGGCCAGTCGAAATTCACACTCGGGACTTACCCTGTCCCACATTTGAACAAAGAAGATATACATTCTAGGAGGGGGTGTTTCAAGTGAGGCAACTTTGGTATACATTCATTGGTTACATAAAATGAATATGTATTAACAAGTGGGCTCAGTTATGGTATTGGTTCATACATAATACTGGTAACATGCCTATTGGGTGATTTAAGGTATGAAGTCTATCTCATTTGCATTCTGGTGAAATGACAAAACTCTTCTGTAGACAAAGACATTCCTGAGATGCAGAAGTTGGCTCAGACATATCCAGGCATGTGAGGCATGGCAGGCCCAGACATACTGAACAAAGAAAAATTTTAAGTAGGGAGTTTCCTGTAGTAAGTCCAGCTTAAACTATGGGAGCAAAATTTCCTTGTAAAATTCCCTTTCAATATGATTGTCCTCATTTCTGCAAATGAGGAAACTAAGGCCACAAGAGCTTAGCTAATGTGCCCAAAATCTCACAGTAGTATATGTTGGAAATGTTGTATCCTATAAAGTTAATTTTAAAATATACCAGGACCCCAAGTCATATATAAGTACAATGCCTTACATTTTAAATTAGGGTATAAACTCATTATTCTATATTTCTGAGCACTTCATGTGTACAGTGAGTGATCCACATGATGACATTTATGGAGCACACATTTCCAGGGTGCAGGGGAGGCTGGACTCTGGATATCTGCCGTTGTGCAGTCTGGGTCACTCGGGACATGCACCCTGAGTTTTGTCAAAAAACAAAACCACACTTCAAATGAAATACAAAGTTTAGTTGTTATGATGTCTCATTCATGTCCTCTTGGTGGCCAGGACACATGTGGGCAGAGAAAAAACAGGCCTGGCAGGGATAGCTCCAACTCCACCCTGTGTGCCCCCACCCCATCACCCCAATTGGCTGTGGGGCAGAATAGGGTCACTTGATGAGACAGGACAAGGAGGATCCCAAGGCCCAGGGGCTACCCCGGCCGTTTCACTGGAAGGGGCACACCACAGCCATCCTGTTTGACACTTGCTACCCTTTGGGGGTGGTGCCTGTGGCCCTCCTGATCAGGCTTCAAAACTTATAAACATATGTGTCCATAGGAGGAATACAGCTTCAGGGAAGTGGTTATCAGTGATTCCCTGCAAAGAAGTGAGCACTTCATTAAGTCGCATGGTCTCTTACCCCACTGGAATGATGGAGAGCAGGGAGTCCCAGAGGGAGGAGCAGGGATCCTCCTGGCACATTGTGGGCCCAGCCACAGGATGGGAGACTGTAGGTTGAAGGAATGACATCTCTGGTCTCAAATGCAAGAGTGTGACTGGTAAAGTTGATCGCCATTTGCCCACCAAAAAGTTCTTTATTCTGTGACTTATCAGGCCTGACTAACCCAGTGAGATTTTGTGGGATGCAGAGAGAAAAGGAAGTCTTTTTATCTCGAGCCTGGTCCTCTCTCCTGGACTCCCACTCCTTTATTCGGCCACCTACTTAGAACCTCTTCTTGGAATCTAAAATACATCTCAATCTGAATGTATCCAATCTTGTCCCTGATCTCACATTTCCTACAGTTTTACCATTTCACCGGCAACCTTGCCCTTCCAGTTGTTTCTGTCTGAAAACCGTCCTGTTTTTCTTCACTTGTGGTCCAGGGGTCAGGGAATTCTGTTGCAGGACACAGAGCTTGACCATTTCTTACCCCTATGTCCAACATCTCCTACCTGGGTTATTAGAGTGGTCTCCTCCTTGCTCTGTCTGCAGTCTATCCCTTGCATCAGCCACAGGGGCCTTTAAAGAGTCAAAGATTAAAAAAAAAATTCCTTCTTTGCTCAAAACCTTCCCAGTGGTTTTCCAATTAACTCAGAGTAAAAACAAAATCCCTGCGAAGTCTGATCTTCCATTACCCTGATAGTCTCACTGCTGCCTTCCCGTTGGCTTCCTTGCTCTTCCTCTGACAAAGCAGAAAGACTTCTGCTGAAGGGGTTTTGCATTGGCTCATCCCTCTGTGGAATGCATAATTCCCACTCCTCCCAAACTATGCTCAAAATCTGTACTGCACTGACAGCTACCCTGACCAACCCCATCAACATTGCCATCTGCCCTGCTCCTGACTT